AGCGAACTAATTCTACTATTTCAAATAGGAGATAAACACAGCCAGAAAACTATAGGGATATAAACTTGTTAAATAATATGGTTGCTGCAATTAATTCTTCAAGGAAAAATAGAAGGAATGCGAAGACCAGGAAGGCGAAGAATTTACTGGCTGAAAAATCTACGTATGTGATTCAACACAACAACCAGAAATCTTGGGGAAAGAAGAAGAAGAAATACTACCCCAAAACTTATAACTAAAATTTTACAGGTACCTACTAATAAATTAGAGGATAAGTTTAGCAGATGAACAATAAGATTTTCGTAGTGGAAGATCGTGTACAGATGAAATATTCGTTATAAAGCAAATTACTGAAAAATCACTAGAGTATAATAGACCAACATTTCTGTGCCGAATTGACTTAAAGAAAGTATTTGACAGAGTAACACTCAATGTAATCCATCTTCTCTACAATAGAGAAGTTCCCCTAAATATTATAAAAACTATTGAAAACATCTACCAAAACAAAAAAATGGAAGTCAGAATAGATGGACAACTTACAGAACCTACAGAAACAGGCAGCGGAATACGACAAGAGGACTCATTGAGCCGTATGCTCTTTAATTTAATCATAGATGAAATCATCAAAAGTCTTAACAAAGGAAGAGATACAGAATGGGAAACAAATAAATAAAAATATTCTGTTACAACGCAATACTGATACGTCTAAGATGAAGATAGCCTGCCAAGACTGGTCCACAGATTTAATATAAGAGCAAAAGAATTTAATATGACAATCTTATCTCAGAAAACTAAAACAATAGTAGTCAGTAAAGAACCAACCAGATGTAAAATAGAAATTGGAATTACACTGCCCAGCTATGGAGACCTGGACAAAGAAGTAAGAGATTAAGTAGAGATTACGATAAGTACAACAAACAAATAGAAACCAGATGTAAAATAGAAATTGGAATTACACTGCCCAGCTATGGAGACCTGGACAAAGAAGTAAGAGATTAAGATAAGTACAACAAGCAAATAGACTGGCAGGATGCCTAAATAACACTATATGGCGAAACAGACATATTAACATTGAGATAAAGTCAAGAATTTATAAAGCCAGTGTAAGACTAATAATGACGTATGCCTCAGAAACAAGACCCGATACAGCCACAACACAAAGGCTACTGGAAACGACAGAGATAAGAGTACTGAGAAGAATTACAGGAAAAACGCTGAGAGATTGAAAGAGAAGTGAAGACATTAGAAGAAAATGTAACGTACAGTGTATAAATGAATGGAGACCAAATCGAAAAAAAAGAATGTAATAACCACATAAGCAGAATGGAAGAGACCCGTGTCGTAAAAATAGCAAGAGATAAATCACCAATCGGCAGAAGTATCGGACGACCGCGCAAAAGTTGGAGTGACAACCTTCCATAGAGTTATTATTCCGCCAATAAACAAGCAGGATTGCTTATAAAGAGGAAGAAGAAGACGAAGAATCTAAAACATTTTCGGTTGTATTCAGGAACTCAATATGACGGACAATCTGTCGTTGCGCACTACAGTCGTACCCAGGAGTAAGGTTTTTTTCCCATCTACGTAAGCTGTTCTGTCAGCACATCTACCGCTGCTTATTCTTATTCTATTCAGCGTTGCCTATGTATTGCGGAGCAGTTCAAAGTCTGGCAGTTTCTGATTGATCACCCTATTTGGTGTACTTCCCTTGGGTTAGTCGCTCTTCCATTGTGGTGAGTCGCTTTTCCATTGTCTTTTCCAGGCGTTGGTGAGGCTGAAATGTTCCTGATGTAAGGTTACTTACTTACTTACTTACTTACTTACTTACTCCGTGGCGTTACAACCCTTCGTGGGTTTTAGCCGACTCGACAACATGCCTCCACTGTTTTCTATTTTGAGCAACCTCCATCCAATTCTCCACGCCCATAGTGCTTAGGTCTCCTGCTATATTATCTCGCCACCGGAGACGAGGGCGTCCGCGTGGTCTCCTTCCAGTTGGGACTTCCTCCCACACCAGTCTTACTGTTCGTTCGTCAGAATGTCTTCTGAGGTGTCCTGCCCATTGGAGTCTTCTGGACTTTATTTCTTTTATGATGTTAGCGTCTGGGTAAAGTTCTTCAAGCTCTTTATTAGTTCTTATCCTATATTGTCCTGATGCTTCATCAAGCACCGGACCAAAGATCTTCCTTAGGATTTTTCTTTCCCAAACACGTAGTCTCTCTTCATTTGCCTTTGTCATTGTCCACGTTTCGCTTCCATACATCACAACGGGTCGTATGATTGTTTTATAGACCTGTATCTTCGTACCTCGTGTTAGTTGTTTTGATTTTATAAGGTTTTGGAGGGCAAAAATACATCTGTTGCCGGCCTGAATCCTGTTGTTTATTTCTTGTGATCCGTTATTGTCTTCAGTTATTGTTGTTCCAAGATACTTGAATTCTCTAACGCGCTCAAAGTTAAAGTCATCGATGGTAATGTTTTGACCGATTCTGTCTCTGCTTTGGTTATTGCGGCTCATATACATATATTTCGTCTTATTTTCGTTGATTTGGAGCCCCATCTTCTCTGCTTCCATCTCAAACCTTACGAAAGTCTCCTTCATCTTTAATCGCGTGTTTCCTATTAGATCTATATCGTCTGCAAATGCCAGTAGTAAGTTTGGTCCTTCTCGATGAAATACTGTATTCGGTTTTTCGATTCTTGCACTTCTGATTATGTGCTCCAGAGCTAAGTTGAAGAGTTGTGGTGAAAGTGCATCTCCCTGTTTTAGTCCATTGTTTATTTCAAATGTCTCCGAGTATTGTTGTCCAACTCTCACCTTACATCGTAACCGTTCCATACACATCCGTATCAACCGGACTAGTTTTTTTGGAAAGCCAAGTTCCTGCATCGCTGTCCACAGTCTGTCCCTACATACTCTATCAAATGCTTGTTTAAAATCTATGAACATCTGATGAAGCTCACGATCAAACTCCCAGCATTTTTCCATTATCTGTTTTATTGTGAATATCTGGTCAATTGTAGAGCGGCCCGGTCTAAATCCGCATTGATAATCTCCAACGATTTCTTCTGTGTATGTTTTGGTTCTTTCTAGCAGGATGTTTGCAAGGATTTTGTAGGTGGTGTTTAGGAATGTTATTCCCCTGTAGTTAATACATTGCTTTTTGTTTCCTTTTTTGTGTATTGGTACAATAACCCCTTCTTTCCATTCATCTGGCATTGTTTCTTCTTGCAAAATGTCTTGAATTAGCTTGTATATCGAACTGTACAACGCTTCTCCTCCATGTTTTAAGCACTCTGCGGGTATGCCATCGCTACCTGGTGTCTTATTATTTTTGAGTTTTTTAATTGCCTGTATTACTTCTTCGTATGTCGGGTATTGGTCTTCTATTTCAGCTGTATGTACCTCTATGTTTGATGTACTTCTGCTAGATTGGCCATTCAATAGTTGATAGAAGTATTCCTTCCAGGTTTTTAAGATTTCTTTGTCATCAGTGATAAGCTGTCCACTGTCGTTTTGAAGAAAGTTTCCTGTTCTTGCTTGGTACCCGGTCTTGATATCTGAAACTCCTTTAAAGAACTGCCTCGCTTGTTTGTTCTTTCTTTTTTCTTCTATATCTCTGATTATTTGTTCCTGATACTCTCTCTTCTTCCTTTTCATTAGTTTTCTTGTCTCCGTTCTTCTTTGTCTATACATTTCATTGTTGTTGTGCGAGGGGTTTTGTAGCATGTTCCTTCTAGCCATATTGATCCTTACATCCTGATGTAAGGTGGCCTTTAAAAATGGGGGATATCTGGAGCGCAGTCTATTCCTTTTGAAATTGTTCGAAACTGTTTTCTTGTGGCACCTTAAAGCAATTACTATTTAAATGAGAATAAGCCACAATTTTTTAAAATAAGATTATCGACGTTTCAATTTTCACTTTGGAAATCGTTCTCAAAATACAATGTTTTTATACCTAGCTTTTGGATAAAACTATTTCGCGTTTTTAGTTTTGCTGCCGTTCTTTGTAGATGTTCTTTAAAACTTAAAATTCTGTCTAGAGTTACTCCAAGATATTTTCGTTTCGTTAGGCTGTTGTCTTCATTTGCGGAAGTATTCTCCCAAAATGGCAAGATAATCCGTTAGTATTGTTTCTATTGTTAAGCTTCATTTGGACATTTTTAAAATTGCTCATATTGACTTAAAATGATCAGTAAGCATGCTATCAATAAATTTAGTTATTTTTTGGCACGGAGTAGTTTGCAAATTAGTCCTTGTCTCCAAGCGGTATCGTATGCAGCTGGTATATCAAAGAAAGCAATGCCCGTTTTTACCTTTCCTTGAAATCCTGCTTCAATATGTGTTTTAGGGATAGGATCTGATCTGTGCAACTTCGTTTCTACTAATTCTGTGGTAGATTAAACGTCCTAACAGTTTATAGATCCAGCTCAGCAGTGCAATCGGTCAGTAGTTTTGAATAGTCAGTAGTTTTTTTCAATTGCTTTTCCCGGTTGTAATATGGCTATAACGGAGGCCTTTTTTATTGAGTGGGAGATTTCTCCTCATTCTAAGATATCTACAGAAATCAGCCAGATATTTCCTAGCATATTTGTCACAGTGCAGTAAAAATTCTAGATGGATCTTATAGGAGCGGGTACCTTTCTAGATTTAATTTCTAATATTGCTGGGGTAATTTCTTCTGGAATAAACTCGTCGGAGTATTCAGATGTAGGATGTAGATGGGCATGCAGATTTCAGTATATTCAGTTATTGTTTTACTTTTGTGGTGTGATCACGGTCTCTAGGTGCTCTTGAAATTGCTACAACGTGGGAGGCTACTTTGTTGTTAACTACTGGTACTTTGTCTCTAGTTGGATGTCTGGTACCAATGAATAAGATGGATGGATCGAACGTTGAGTTGAGTGTCCATTATTTACAAAAATGGGATACTATCACTTTGCGGTGAACTATTTGTAGTTGATTTATTTTGCAGTTGTTTTCGTTTGAAAGAATTAAATATAATGAACTATTATAAACATATTTTATTTTTACATAATCTAGCTTGTTTTCTATTTGACAAGTAAAAAAGTAGCTTTGCTTCATATCACTATACACTCATAAGGGTAAATTGTACCGACTCTTCCTTGACCTGGAGTGGGACACACTGAAAAATAAAACAGTTTAAAAATATTTTTAAATCAGAAATATAATTTTTGGTATTTATTATTTTTAAATTTCAGATGATAATATGTTTATTTCGAGTTTCAATTTCCATTTCTAAAATAGTTAATACACTCAAAATAAAATTTTTTTATTTGTGGCCAATCTATTATTGGTTACAAACTAAAATTGGTTACAATTATGAAGATTTACGATAAATTTGGTATAAAAAAACCCTCCATTTAAATTAACCTATACTTCATCTAATTTACATACCGATGCACGTAATCGGCGTCATAGCCCGTGACGTCACATAATACCAACACGAAATATTTAGGCGGTAGGTGTGTTCTTTTTTAGAATCACTTTGCCGAGTACATTGGCCTTACAGCCACTAGACTTATTTTATTATACATGCGTAGAAATAATGTTTAAATATTTCTATTAATGGTAACTTAAAAAAATACACAATAATGTTTCATTTAATTTATATAAATGCATTAGAAAGCGTTTTTATAAAGAACATTTGTTCGGAACACACTGTAACTGTAATCGAACGAAGGTCAAATTTTGGCATAAATTGTTAACACTTACTTGACAGTTGAGGTGTTGACACTTTTTGTACTTTATTATTTTGAATTTTAAAGTAAATACCTCTTGTTTTATATTTTTACCTATTTAATAAAATCTGCTCTTTTTCGAACAAAATTAGTACGTTTTATTTCAAAAATTTCACGTAAGAATTTAAACAGTCGCTGTAAAGAGATGGTAATACTTTTGCAATAATTATGTGACCTATTTGATTTAAAGTGGATTTAGGATTTTTTTATACTTTGGCAACTATGTCAACTTCCATTTCTGACGTAGATAATGACGTGCAAGGGTATGTAAATTAGATGAAGTATATATCCATTTAAACGATTAAATTTTTTTCATTTTAATGACGTCATCGCGCCTATGATGACCTCATAGATCTCAAGCATATCTCAAGGGATATTATTGTAGATCCAACTGCTCCTCCGTTACAGACTATTAAAAACATCTTGGAACACACTGTATATCAAATATTTATGTATACATATTTATATATATATATATATATATATATATATATATATATATATATATATACATATGTATATATTTATATATGTATATATTTATATATATATATATATATATATATATATATATATATATATATATATATATATATATATATATATATATTATATAACATATATACATTGTATACAGTGCTTTTCAGATTACACCTTAAATAACTTTTGAACTTCTAATTTTTAGGAAAAGTGTAAAACACGTCAAGAGCGAGACATGGAAATAATGAGAAAGGCACCCTCTCACCCCGTAACATCCCTTTATTTTTTAAATGACTTCACCCTTTCTCCTTTTTGTGCTGATTTCCAAAATGTCATAATTTCAGCTTGAAGTGATTAATTCATGAGATAGACAATTTTTCTCTTAATAAGATAGTATCTCTCTCTCACCTAAATTGACTGTAACAAAATAGCTTGTAGCATAATTTAAACTATTTAAATATATAACCATACTATTTGTAGTACCTTCAAAAACCAATAAACAAAAAACTTCACTTTTTATTAATGTTTTATCAAAGGTTTTCGATATTTGGACGTTCATTTTAATCGGTTAATAGTGAATGACAATTTATTATAAATTGTAACAGAGTATTTTTATACGTGTGCAATTTGATCGCCTTAATGAACATGAAATGGTTTACACTTTGCAAGAAAGAATCAAAATTGTGGGTTTATACTACAAAAATAATAACTGTGCAAGAGCTGCAGCTAGAATTTTTAATGATACACATCACAATAGACATGCAACTCATAAATATGTAATTGAACTAATGCAGAAATTTAGAGCAACAGGGTCAATTTGCAATAAAAAACATAATCGACAGGGACTCATGAGTAACGAAGCAATTTAAGAGCCGTTTTAGGGCAAATTAACTTAGAGACTGAGCAAGCACAGTCACTGTCAACAATAAGCAGAGCAATCGGTGTATCACCTTCTACAGAAGGTGAGAAGATTTTAATAGGTCGTCTCGAATTTTGCGAATTAATGACACAATACACAAATGCATCAATAACAATCCCCACAATTGTTAAGCAATATATGCTTTTCGGGTGAATTCTCATTTTCAATAAATGGCTTGGTGAATACACATAATTGCCGATTCTGGGCTGAGAGTGACTTTCACACACAGCATTCTCAAAGATTAAACGTATAGTGTGGAATTCTACGTGATCACATTATCGCTCCCTTATTTCTTACTGGAAACTTGAATGGTGTATTGTATCTAAGTTACTTAGATAAGTGGTTGATCGTATTAGAACCATAGTAGAAAATAATGATAACCTTTCTGGATTTGGTTGTATTTCAACATTATGGATCTCCTCTACACTTTGCTCTACCTGTGCGACAATGTTTAAACGAAAATTTTCCCGCTCGTTGGATAGGTAGAAGAGAACAGATGATCGATTGGCCACCTAGGTTACCGGATTTAACACCCCTAGACTTCTTGATATAGGACTATTTAAAAATAAAAATGTATGCTATTCAATTAGAAGATCAAGTTATTTAAGGTGGATAGCTTTATCTGAATAGCACTGTATAGTGAAACGTGGGATGCCTCAATTATCTCGGAAACGACTTGCACGATTTATATGAATTTTGGTTTAAGGCTTTTGTAATACGGTCCATCTTATGATAGCATGTGTATTATTGTTGTTAACCGAATTGGTGCAGTAATACATTTATTGAATTTAGAAACCAGAAAATGTGCATTAACTGCAGACAAATCTGTAGATGTTTGTGTGATGTTATAAGGCGATCCACTCTTCAGTACTAGAAAAATATCCAGGGAACTTGATATTTCGCAAAAATGTGCAATGAGGAGTTTACGTGAAGATAAATTGCACCCATAAAGAGTAAGGTTGGTTCAAGAGTTGTCAGATGACGATTTTATTAAACTTGATATAATTATGGGAAAATGTTACCATCCAACCGAACCAAATTTTTTAGGTAACTTTATGTTTTGCGATGAGTCAACTTTTGTTATTGAGGGAAACGTATATCGGCATAATTTTAGCTACTGGTCAGGTAACAATCCTAGTCGGATGCGTGAACTCGGTTTCCAGAAAAACTTAATGTATTACTCAACAAACAACGGCCCTCAGTCCCGGGCACCTCTTAAATAAGGAAAGGGTGCTAAGAATCCCCCGGAGAAAAACAAAAAGAATAGGCACATGGAATGTGAGAAGTCTATATGAAGGGGGAAAGGCCGCAAATTTAATTCAAGAAATGGAAAGACTTGATATCGATATATTGGGATGCAGTGAGGTAAGATGGCCAAATACAGGTACCTGTGTGATGGGCAACTATACAGTATTCTATTCTGGAGATAAAGGCACTCAAAAAAAAACGGTGTAGCAATAATTACATCTAATGAAATTGCAAAATTAGTTTCTGGAATACTACCAACATCAAATAAAATAATGCTAATAAAAATAGACAGCAAACCAGTCAATATGAATATTATCCAGGTATATGCCCCAACTAGTCAAAGCACAGAAGAAGAAATAGAACAATTCTACGAAGACCTAAACAAAACTCTACTGCAGACAAAGAAGCATGAAACCAACATAATATTAGGAGATTTTAACGCCAAGATTGGAAAAGGAAGAGAGATGACACAATGGGGGAGTTTGGCCTCGGAATAAGAAATGAGAGGGGAGATAGACTGCTTCAGTTCTGTAAAGAAAATCAGTACAGTATAATGAACAGCTTTTTCAAGTTACCACCCACACGTCTCTTCACGTGGAAATCTCCAGCAGATGGAATAGAAGGACGCATCACAAGAAATCAAATCGATTACATAATGGTCAACAAAAGATACAAAAACGCAGTAAAAGCATGCAAGACATACCCCGGAGCTGACATCCCCACCGACCACAATCTTCTTCTTGCAACAATTGGGATAGAATTTAAAAGAACAAAAAGAAATAAGCAAATAATAGCTATTAACCTAGATAAGCTTAAAGAAGAATCCACTAGTAATAAAATACGGGAAGAAATACATAGAAAACACTTACAAGAGTAACAGAAGACTACCTCAAACAAGATACACGAAAAAAGAACAAACCATGGATGACAGAAGAAATTCTAAACATGATGGACGAAAGAAGAAAATACAGAGGTAAAAATGAAACAACATACAAGAAAATACAACGGAATATCAGAATAAAGATCCAACAAGCCAAAGAAACCTGGCTAAGTGAAAGATGCCAAGAAATTGAAGAGTTGGAACAAAGACATGATACTTTCAATCTACATAAAAAAGTAAAAGAAGCCGCTGGAATATTTAAACAAACTCCTACGTCTTTCATCGAAGATAAACATGGGAACCCGCTACTGAACATAGAAGATCAAATAGGTAGATGGAGAGAATACGTGGAAGAGATGTTTCAAGACCGAGAGAGGACGAACATTTACATGCAGGAGGCATCGACTGGACCTTATATCACAAAGCAAGAAATTGTCAAAGCGGCAAATCAGTTAAAGAACGGAAAAGCTGTTGGGGAAGATAATATCCCAATTGAAATAATAAAGATATTACTAGACGAACACATCGAAGTAATGGAAGATATATTTGACAAAATATACGAAACAGGCAAAATACCAAATGATTGGCTGACATCGATGTTTATACCACTACCAAAGAAGAGAAACTCCAAGAAATGCGAAAACCATAAGATTATTAGCCTGATGAATCATATGTTGAAGCTTTTCCTACGAGTAATACACAATAGAGTATACCATAAACTAGACGAACACACTGGTCAAACTCAGTTTGGTTTTAAGAATGGGTTCGGAACGAGAGAAGCACTTTTTTCAATACGTGTGCTAGTTGAAAGATGTAGAGATGTCGATTCTGATGTATACTTGTGTTTTATAGACTTT